TGAGCATGGAATCGCTCGACTCCGATAAAGGAGACCAACTGCTGGAAAACGTCTATACGAACGATATGGTAGTCCTGTCGCTTGTCGAGAAAAAAACAGGTTGGCTCAGCGCCAAGCGCGACCGCGGACACGCCATATCATTGGCAGCGAACCAGAGTTTGAGTTGTACTGTTTAGTCACCAACGGACTTACGAGATAATGTCGACTTATTAATATTTGCAGTTATTTCGGATTAGTTTGATGAATGAAAGTTTTGTACTATTTTTTTGCATATCCGAGTTCTCTACAAAGCAAGTTTCGCTGTACAGGACTCAGCACATTGACAATTTGCGCTGCTCGTTACTGGCTGCCGCACTCACTACGACCCCCCCTCTCCTGGCGGCCAAATACGACCCCCCTGTTGGGGATTCCCCAACCAACGATGTGCCCTGTGGCTGCGTCCACCATAGGCCAGCAGCCTTTTCAGAATTTCGAAACATTAGGCAGGTAATTCGTATTTGAGACGTTTTATTTCTTTCCTTACGACAGTGAAAACAGGGTAACATCTCTGTGGGAAGCAGAAAGAGCGGATTTGCATTTTGTAGTTCGAATAGGAAAATTTACCTTAAACTCCTTCATGCAGAAGCTAATTTCCGTGGTTTTTCGCACGGCAAATCTTTTGAAGCAAGCCCGCTGCACCGTAATCTCTGTTCTGCACGCGGATCCTCCATGGCCTTCTGAAAATGACATCACAAATAGAGAAAAAGTTTCCAACTTCCAGTTGTATAAGTCAGCAAAAACCGAAAGTATTGCAGAAAAAGAGAATAAAAGGTTGAGGAAACGATTACAACAAGAAAACGAAAGCTGATGAGCCCCAAAGAAGCAAATTTGAGGGTCAGAGAGAAATTGCAGCCACGACTTGGCAATGAAGCAGGATAGTGTTCCTATCTTCAATTCGGAATCTCTAATAAAACGAACCTACGGGAAGTTGGGCAAAATTTTTGAAGATAATTTTGTCGCTCTGCACGCTCATCATCAGCTCTTCATATCCAGTATGCATTTCATTGAGGAAAGCGGCAATCTCGCTGAAAAGAAAATTCGTATCACCCAATTTCGAACTACTTGGTTGCCTCATAAGTAAAAAGGGAAAGTGGTATGACGTTGACGGCGAGCCATGACATGCGCTTGGGACGGCACATTTTTCTTCGTTGAAACTTAGCAATGACATTTCCAAATAAATGAATGACTATGATCAAAATGCATCAAGAAATGCAAGAAACGATATGCGAAACTCGAATCTTCAGCTTTTATTGTTCCAGTCTTCAAAAATCAGGCCATTTTCAACCAACTTCTTCGTCTGGAGGCAGATTGGCTGAAAATGTCTCTGCCGGGGTAGTTTAACCTCCTGAAGAGCAATATCGCACCCCCTTGGCTCGAAAATCTCTGCTCTTGGACTAATTTCCTAAAAAGAAAATGAAACAATGGCGCAGATTTTGAGTTATACAATAACTGTCGGGCAGCATTGGGTAACGCCGTCCGACAAGAGAGACTCGTCCGCCATGATGGAAATCGTCGTTAACGCGTAAAGTGGATTATGATATTCCTGTTTCAGGGCGTTGACCTAGTCCTAGGAGCATGTTTGAGCGATTTCTTGACCGTGGTTTTCTGGCGCCGACCGGTCGTGGCAGGGCGCCAGGCGGTTTTGGTTGGCAAGCCATTGTTGAGTATTCGTGCTTCATCAGGACTCAACTGCCCCAGGGGTGACGTTTTTTCAGCGGATTGTATGGTTTGCTGGTATCTTTGGCGGCCGAGTCTGCCTGTTCGCGGGCGCAGGCAATTCGTGCCAAGCGACTGCAGTATTCGTTTCAAAGGGACAAGCTACCTCTAAGGATGAGTCTGCAGCAAATTTGGCTGTTCGTGCATCTTTATTATCAGAGCAATATAGTGGCAGACAACAGTGTCTGCCATCGTCCCACGAGACAGACTGGCTGTCAGGCTCAGCATCCACCTACCCCCTCAGCCCCACTCCAAAGTCGTCAGCCTCCATTGTCTGCCATCGTCGTCAACGTGTTAAGAGTAACCCCACAATGTTGACTCTTATGAATCAATGGGGAGATTCAATCAACTCCAAATCCTGCCTGCTGTGATCAAGACACAGCATGAAACGTAGAAGTTCCTAGTTTCTTATTTCCATTTTCAAATATTTTTTTCACTTTTTAATGCTTTAGCCAATTCAACGGAAACATGAGACCTACAAAGCACTGACAGTGACCACGTTGCACAAATCGCTTCTCCTGATATCTGAAGTGAACGGCTTGTGTTTCTCCATTACATTAACATCGAACGATCGAGTGACATCTGCAAACACCTCATTCATCTATGTTTTCCATCTAACCAAGAACTGCTAACATGGTTAAAAATTATATCCTTAATCACTCTCGCTCCGCCTGACACCTTACAAGCCACAAGCACATACTTACGACATCACCAAACGGTGAATCTTTTCTGACTCATTTCTCTATGAAGAAATCCAAAGCGGTTGGCAGCGAGCGCTATACCGGGCGCTATTCACGAACAAAGCCCAATAGTGGTTTCCCTCCTGGGTCAGTCCTGATCATGAGAATTTCGCTCAGTGCCAATTCCCACAGGATTTCACCTCCGGTATGATTCCCTCTCACATCCTACCTAAGCCCTTAGCAATTTTCCCAAAAATTTGCCGTCGATGGGGCCGGGCGGGGCGGGGAGACAATACCAGTGTTTTCGCGGCGGCACCGTCTGGTTGGCCCAGCGTGCGAGGAACGGCAAAATCAAGAACTAGGGAAAAAATTTCCTTCGGCCAAGTGCGGCACTCCTCTCTAAATACAATGTCCCCTCTCTCTCCTCTTGGGACCCCCGTCGTGCGAAGTGCATTTTCCTATCTCAGACCCAAAGATGTGGCACTTGTTTGCAGTGAAACTGTTGCGATATTCTAAAGCGCTTCATCTAACTTACCATATGTATGCTGAAAATCAAGACGTAGTTCACGACCCAGGATATCTACAGTGAGCAAGCATGAAACGAGATTCTTTTCTACAAAATATGCACTTTTGAACATCGACAAGGCAGTCTGAAACTATGAATTGAGCCAGTTAGGCAACCAGGAACAGTAATTCCATAAAAGTTCAGTGTACAAGACCGATATACACAAGAAATGAGGCCTAAGGCTAAACTACAAGACTAAACCGGAAAGCCTACAAGTATGTGTCAGAACAGTGAGCCGTGCCAGACCACCTGCAGTCTGGTTCGCTGCGGATGATGAGGCGTGCCAGTGAAGCTGGGTTTGGCGCGTCGCCAGTCCGTTCTCCACTAGTTACTGAAGCGGTAAACGACAACATCTGGTGAAAAATGGCTGATACAAACGATGTGGCACTGTCTTGTCGCCTGAAAAAAGAAAAAAGGCTGGAGCGGCGCCAAACTTATCCTCCCTTGACACGCCCCAACATCCGCATTGAACAGGACTGTAACGAGTCATGGCTGACCGACAGAGCTTACATTGGAACGTGACTCAGATCGTGAATACGTTATACCAGAAGGTCTTGCTCCAAATTTTTAGCCGCACTATACTAGATCAGAATAGATGCGGTTTCAATGAAGAGGCTGATTACCTCATATTAGCCGCGCTCATTTTGCCTGCTACTGAAAAACTAAGTCGAGCAGCGAAATAGAGCTCCAAATTGGCCCATTTCCCCCATCCTCACCCTATTCGAAGTGTAGACACCGTGCAGGATTACCAGGTGGGGTGGGCCAGCAGAGGACGTCTTGGCGAGTCCTGCTCCTCCCCTTCTACGGCTGTGAAAAGCGTCAGAAAGGAAAGCGTACCAACGTCATCTCCAGCTCCGCCCAAACGAAAAATTCAAACCGTGTCTTTGAAGGGCATTGGGTGGGCTTTTCCAGAATCATAACATGAATCTGTCATACTTCTGACCAGAACACATTAGTTCAGACATGGAACGAATTATTTACAGTTGAGTTTATTTACACTGAGAGCTTACGTACCTTCATCGACAACCGGCAATCTTTGGCCGAGTCAGATGTTAAGCACTTCGTGTCATAATCTGAGAAGAACTCGTTCGCAAACAGAAAAATACCATACGCTGATCGGGTTTTGTTGAACGCTTTCAAACATATCTGAATGCGGGCTGATAGAAGAAAATTATTATTATTTACTTACTGGTTGCAATATCACTTGAAACGCATTGGAAGAATGGCAAATAAAATGGTCAACGTTTTGAAGAAGGGTTTTGAAAGAAATTGTGACCAAGATCGGGGCATTAGGTACGCAGGCCTATCACTTAACATGACCAACTTTGGAAGGGGTACTGTGACCAACTCTTTCCACTAGTTCCTAGAACCTGAGCCAAGTGTGAAGAATACAAGTCTTGGAATTGAAGATGGTTCAGAGATTTCGTGCTGTGAGGGTAATGTAACTTGTGGGAAGCCGAGTAATGTCGGAGCCATCAGACTTAGGACTCCGGTGGTCTCTTACAGTTAGTCGGCTTAAAGCCGCAAGATCACGGCATGGCAAAGGAAATTAACTTCGAGCCAGTTTTTTCAACGAAGATGGCTGTGGAAGAAAATGTCCAGGCTGAGCAGAAAAAGGACAACGAAGCTTATTAGCTTGACTGTGGAACTAATACACAGGACTCATTCCATAGAGAGGGGCACTGAACTTCCAAAGTTCATCGCTTTGTGAGGCGTATGAGCAGCTCTTCTAACCCACGTCAGAACCCTCGTTCAATGAAGGAATATCTGAAAAGCTAACAGATGCGAAGGGTTCAAAAATAATGAGTACGGTATGTAGAGCGAAGAGCAGCTCTCTATAGTGACACACATCTGTAATTGCAGCCAAGTGGCACCTTCAATCTAGTGATGTAACACTGAATGAGCTCTTACAGTCAGTTCAAGAAAGGAGTACTGAACTGTAGAAACTCTTTCTCTAGTCTCTAGAAAATGAGCCGAGGTTTCGAAGAAATAAATTCACTATTGAAGGAAAACAAGAAACAGTTCTTCGAAGTCTATAGATCAAATTAGCGGTTGGATTGATTTTACTGTGCATGAAAATTGAAACATGAATTTGCAAATTCCACAGGTTACAAAGCAGTTGGGTGTGTTGCGGAGTTTTATCATTCACTGTAATAAAAACGAGAAATTCATTAGGTACTTACACCGCGTTGCTGAGATCGAAGAAAGAGTTCATCACCGAGTTTGCTGAGAGCAGTAATTGCATTTGAAAAGACTGAAAAGGGGAAACATTATCACCACTGTGATACAGAAATTAAGATGAACAATAGTACATATGTGTTCACAATGGTAGAACCTCATCATCGATCAAGGCACTGTAGTAATACTTCGCAAGTGGGTTCTGGTGATCTTACTACACTAACAAAGAATCGAGAAAAGTTAAAAACCCAGTTGTGCTCTCCCTAAACAGTACCATAAGTGACCACCGGCACAAGTTGTATTCACAGCTCTCGTCGAAACAGTATAATAGAGGGAGAAGGGAGACTACGAAGAAGACTGGATGGGGATCGATTGGTTGAATGTTCCTTCACAACGTCTGGGAGAGTCGGTGCACCGCCAATCCACATGTACCCATTTCTTTCAGCTAGCTCTGAATCTTCTCTAGTGACAGGGCACATAGTGTAATTGGGGCCTCACCCCCATACCTTGGAGTGGGAAGGATGTCCACGTAATAAGTTGTGAGCGCGGCAGCGGCTGCATATTTTTGGGCAGTCGTTAGAGCAGAGCACGGACAGAGGTGTATCAAAACACTAGATGCTATTCACGGCTACCTGTGTCTCTGGCCTGCAGCTGACATCGACCCCCTCCCCCCCCTCAGGCTCTCAATTGCATCTTGCGCACACGCTCCTTCCACTTCCGCGATAAAGGCCTGTACATCTACATTATTACTGACGTGATCGGGGCGCACAGCGCCTGCCCAATGTGAGCCGATCCAGACGCTCGGCTCGGTGACGGCGAATCAGCTGATTTCCATGGAATTCGGCTGCGAGTTCCCACTTTTTCAACTCTTCGAGCTTCGAAAGTGGAAAGTATGTTATTTAAGCAATTTTAAATTGTACTGACTCTGAATGAGTCTGAAAGAATGCAAGTAGTTTGAATAAATGCCTGAAATAGCGAAAAATACAAGGAAAAGAGCATATAGAACATCGAATAAAACCAAAGAAATCAGCAAGCAGTACAACTCAAAATGATCTCAGATAATTCACCTTCACTTTGCAGCGCGGCTGTGCCGCCCCGACAGTCCGTGATGAGGACTGTACATACACTCGATATTATTCATAAAGATTTCACATATCGCAACAATGAGACATACGAATTATAGCGGGCTCATAAAAAGGCAACCACAACCAATTCAAACAGAAGGGTTATGCTAAAATAATGTCCAAAGGCAAGACTGCACTTGTCATGGCTTCAGCTATTGCACTTTTAAGTGGAGATGTCCACATTCTTTAAAAGTCTCGCAGTTCTTACGGATATGAGCAAAGCCTCGTTCATGCGCGAAGTACTTGAGAAAGCGGAAATCCGGGAAAATGAAGAAATAGGAATGTGAAGGCATTTTCGTGGCAGACGTGGTGTAGGAGCAAGTGGCACGCGCGGTCCAGGGATCAGATCCAAGTCGGCTCCCACCTTGCGTAACCAGCCAAGCTTTCTACCGTCCAGGGACAGTAAATTGGCACCATATTCGGTTGAGAGGATGAGAAAGCTGAATTGTACATCTGCATGCACCCGCAAGTCACTGTGTAAGTCACCTCTACTCTCCGCCTTCACTGAGCCACTACCATTCTGAATGGAAGCGGAATACGTGCCGCATCCTAGCTCTTCCTGAAATTGCATGGGGAGTAAGGTTGAACAATAAAGTTCTGTGTGAGATTTTTGTCAATCTTTGTGAATTCTGCCAGTTTCCTCCATCGGGATTCGCCAGGTTACCCCATTGATACTACACATTCTTTTCCCGCTAACCCCGTGATTCCTTGAATTCAATGGCTGAAATACACGAGGAGTGCAGCAAAAGCCAGGAGATACATTGGTGAAAAGTGAAAAGAAAAAAAATTTATGAAAAGCATCTCCACATACTTCTCACATTTGAATGCAGGAGGTAGACGGCGCTGCTGCTGTTGTTGCTAGTAATGTTACCGTTGAGTGAACGACTTAGAGGCTGACTAACAGACGACCCTGCTTCATCCATTTTCTAAATGGAAATAAAAAATATACCACTCCCGTAATTCTGACCATAAATCATCAATAAGGACGATTTTATAAGGGAAAAACAATTTTATCCATGAAAATAAGGATTACTCACCTCAGCCAGTGAAATGACGACGACACTCGCTTATTGCGAACATTCATCAACTAAACACGGAACAGAATCT